ATGTCCATCAAGGGCAAACACTGAAGTCAATGGTGTCCCTATGGTTGGTGTCACCCAGGGTGGTAACTCATGGTGCCACCCTCCTCCCATGGACCACCTCCTGTACCAGACCATACAGAATCCTTAGTAATGTTTTTTGTGCTAATGTGACTTGTAAATCATAATTCCGGTATATCACTCCTTCTTTTCCTTTGGTTACTACTTCATTCTCAAAAAAGTTATTTATATAGGTTCACAAATACTAATTACCACAATACTGTAGCTGAAATATGAGAAAATTTGACAAAATCAGCAACTATGAAAACACGGGTGGCAATGAAAACAACAGGACATAGACCCTGCAGACAAACCCACGTGATCTGAAGCGTCATTGTAATTGGGCGATAATGACAGCTCTGACCTGAGTGCATTAGATAGTCCAAAAAGTAAATGAGCATAGAGCTTTAGCATTGTAGGCATATTGATACATGTAAGCTGGGCTTATGGAAAATGTTTTTGCTGTTATAACTAACTACGGGATATTTTTATAAAAAATAAATTTCTGTTGAAACACTGCACAAAAATTGTATAGACAGTCATTTTGGTGTCAACCCCTCTGACGCTGTCACCCCCTCTGACAGTGTCACCCCGTGCGGTCCACACTCCCTGCACCCTCCAAGTGACACCACTAATCAAAGTATCGAAGTCTGACTTCCAGAGTTCAGAAGGACTGGCTAGATCCGGTTCCAGGGGTCCAGATATCTGTCTGGGACCATCCTGTGGTTCCCAGAGAGCTGTTTAGGAGGAGAAACCTTGTAAGAACGCAGGGGAGCATCAGGCCCAGTCAAATAGTGTGAGATTCTCAGAAAGGCTCAAGTCCCAGAGGGTTGGGTTACTAGGCAGCATGATTAAGTAGACCATGCAGTTGGCAATTAAGATAAGCCAGGCCTAAGGAAGGGCCCAGTCGAGAATGGAGAGACTCAGGGGGCTCCTCAGGTGCAATCAAAGGGGAAAAAAATGCACATTCCCTGAGTGCCCACTAGATGTCAGACCTTTTCCTGTACTGAGAGCTCAGGAATGTTCTCAGCCCCTGTCCCAGAATCAGGTTTTAAAAATCATCAGGAAGGCTGGTTAAAACACAGATTCCTGGGCCCATCTTCAGAGCTTCCAGCTGAATAGATTTGGGGCGGAATTTGAGATTCTGCATGTCTCACATGCTCCCGGCGCTGCTGGTATACGCTGGTTGGTGGGCTGCACTTAAGTAGCGCTGAATCCATTATCTCAGACTCCGGGAAAGGAGAAGGTGGGCGAGGGGGTAGGAGGTGATCCTTGTGACTTCGCAATTAGTTCAAATTATGACAAAAACTCCAGGCAGGTGTAGCGTGGAGCCGGAGGGATGAGTGTGGGGGTGGGTTGAGGAAGGGAAAGGATCCTTTTCTTCTGGGCGGAGGAGCCTCTGGTACTTGAGGCGATTTAAATTGTGGGCTCTGCCGCAGAATATAAGGGCTCTATAGCACTCCTTCCGGTTAAGTGTGTTAACAATTCATTTCCTTAGAATGCTTGTGGTATTTAGGCGTACAGGTATATGCAGGTTAAAATAAAAGCAGTATTCAGATCAAAAATGAAAAGCGAAAACTGACATCAGATATATAATAAAAAAGAAGCCTAAAGAAAAAAAAAACCATTTAAGTGTAAAATGTATATCAGTGATTTTCAAACTAACTGAGGTGATGGACTGGTTTTTAAAAATGTCTAATCCATTATGAACCAATCCATGGTTTCACTGTGCAAGACTTTGATGCAGCTCTGGCCACACAGGATTGACCAGGCACACTGATGAGACTCAACTGCTCAATAACCTGTTTAGTGAGATGAGCCCACTGACCATGCCTTTGGATGTCAGTGGTAACGTCAAATTAAAAACCCCAAACCAAACCCACTGCTGTTGAGTCAATTCCGACTCATAGCAACACTACAGGACAGAGTAGAACTGCCCCATAGGGTTTCCAAGGCTGTAATCTTTATGGAAGCAGACTGCCACATCTCTCTCCCTTGGAGCAGCTGGTGAGTTTGAACCGCCAGCCTTTTGGTTAGCAGCTGAGCGCTTAACCACTGTGCCACCAGGGCTCCTTATCTGTCCCTAAAAGCTTACTCTTGATTTCTGTACTTGCATCATCAGTGTGGTTGCAGAAGGGTGCTGGTCCACAGACCTCCAACCTTTCGATTAGTAGCCAAGAACTTATTTGTGCCACCCAGAGAGTGCTGCATATAGTAGGCACTCAATACACACTGGCGAAATGAACACATGGGATTGTAGCCCAAGACTAAGTTATCAATCATGTTTGGCGGTTAGATAGAGTCAGCCAGAAAATAAATGCCCAGCATGGATGGACATAAAAATAGAACTTTCCTTGCAGTGATTATATAGATGCAGAGGACAAGCAGAGCAGAGGACAAGTAGCCAACTCCAGGAAGAAAAGAGCGATTAATCACATTGTTTCCCTGGCCTTACTGGTGCCCCACTAAATTCGGGTGCCCATTGTGAATGAGTAAATGAATGAATGACATTTAGTTATGAAGTTCTTGGACCATGATGACATAGATTTCTGGGTGGCATTTTGTGCTGAACCCAGGCATTGCCTTATGGCCTTGTCAAGATGACCCTGGTGGTTACTCTGGGAACCACAGGAGAGTTTACCAACGGTGGCACAAATGGTTAAGTGCTTGGCTACCAACCAAAAGGTTGGTGGTTCTAAACCATCCAGGGGAGTCTCTGAAGAAAGGCCTGGCAATCTTCTTCCGAAAGATCACAGCCATTGAAAACCCTATGGAGCATGGTTCTGCTCTGTAACACATGGGGTTGCCATGAGTTGGAATCAACATGATGGCAATGGGTTTAGGTTTTTGGTTTTGGTTTTCTTTTTAATACTAGAATTTTGAGGAAGGACTTTAATAATTTAATTACATTTTCTCATTAAATAATTCTCTGCCTTTCAGCAAAAGAGAGGGATGAATGAAATATGGATTTCTAATTCTAACCTAACAGAACTGTCATGCCTTACCCCACACTCAGCTGTCATACTTCTCTTACGCCTTTCCTTACTGGGTGCACAGTGCAGTCCAAGGTATTTATGTGATTTAATAATGCATAGTTGATAATAATGATTAGAGAAATAACGATTGCTGTCATTTAGAGAGTACTATATGTCAGGTACTACACTAAATGCCTAAATACATTATCTTATTCAATTATATCAACAATATTATAAGGTAGTTTGCTCAGGGACAGAAAGTGGCAGGGCTAGGATTCTAACTCAAGTACGTCTGACACTAAAATCTGTGGTCTTAACCACTTCACTATACTCAGGGTCTGGATACAAGTAGAGACTGTTTCATCTTGCCCTTAAGGTGCATCAACAAACTGAAAAATATGCAATGTTGGGAACTTTAGGTACCCAAGGCCGAGACTTCTTGTCAATGATAGAGTCATAGATGGATCCCATGACCGAATGAATTCAGGTACCCATTGTGAATGAATCAAATTTAGTTTATGAGGTTCTTTGGCCATGAGGACACTAGAGTTTCTTATTGGCATTTTCATTGGGAATCAAGGACTTGGTTTTGATGTCAACCCACAAAATTTGAAGATACATATAATCTGCTCACAGAAGTTAGGACTAAATCACAAGTATATCTCAAACACATACACACACACTTGTCCCGCATCCTGACTCCTCAAAACTCTATTTTGCTCTTTTTCTAAATATCATTTTCAATTTCTTAAATAATAAAGATGAGAGACAGCTTAAACACAAATCTTTCCAAAGGGAACATGTATAGTTTTGACTGCACTCAAGTCAGAGCTCAGACCACTATTTTACTGTTATTTTTGGATGATTCAATTTTCCCCTGAAGCATCTGCACACTCAACTTCCCAGGTCAATTGGTAGTTTCAAGGAGCTTTTGAAGTGTTTTTAGAAAAGCTAAAGGATCAGCTCTTTTGAAAGAGGGATAAATACAATCATGTATTTCTATTTAAGTGAGGACAGTTTGCAAAAGTCCTTCATGGCTCATATACAGGGGTCTTTACAAACTTTCATTAATGTATCTTTATATATGATTGCCAGATTTTCAAATACACAATTTCAAAATCTATCATGGGTCAAACTTCTTTTTTTTTTTTTTTGTGAGTCAAAATTCTTAAAGAAAAACCAAAAAGACCTTTTGTGTTTTTCTAAATGCTAAATTGGAAAAGAATGAACATGGAAATTGGGAAGTGACAAGAACATGGACATCTGAAAACACAAATTGGTTTAAGAAGCAAAGATTTTGGGGAGCCCTAAGACAATAAAGCGATCAGCACAGAGACATCTGTTGGGTGGAGGCGACCTGAGGTGATGACCAGTTAAATCTAATGCAATCAGGAACGTAGGCCAGTTTAACTTTTTTTTTTAATGAGGTGACAACCTCCTAACACCATAATCTCTCCTTTCAGGATGATGACACAAGGATTTAATGAGTAAAAGAAAACAACTTAAAACCTCTCTTTTGAGTATGAATTGTCTATTTAAATTAGAGGTAAGCATTGAGATCCTATTATCTGCTGGCACAATTGGGAAAAGAAGTGTGCACACATGCACACACACACACACACACACACACACACACCCCCCAACTCCTCAGGAAATACGTAGTTATCTAGCTATAGCAATGTCTATTTCTACTCAGATACCAAAATAGAATTAAAGCTCAAACTAACAACCCTTCTGCTAATTAGAGAAATACAAATGTGTTCTTCCCCAGCACCCCAACACAAAATGAAGCTGAAATTAACTGCTTTCCTTTGAACCCACTTATTTATTTATACTTCAAAGAAGATATGGGGATAAAGAAGTCTTAGAATAGTTGGGGAAAACACATGGACCCTATACATTGGAATAAATGGACACTGAGTACAAGTTACAAAGATTTTTTTTTTCCTTGTTGAACCACTGGCTATGGTCTAATAAAAAGCTGGTTACCTTTACATTTCTTTTCTTCTGTTTGGAAGGTCTGGGCGCTTGAGACACTCTGATCGTTCACCTCGTCATGGTCCAGATGGAATACTGAGCTAGTCCAAGTGGCCTGGATGAGATGTGGAGATGACTGTTCATTTTTTAACGTGCTTCGTCTCTCTGAATGGCTCTTCCTGTGTAGGCAAGCTTCAGACATTCCTCCTAGCTTCCAGTCGTGTTCTCGGTCTGGACAATGCTTCGGTTGGTCCCAGGCTGGCAGGCCATTTTCTGGAGGGTTGGAAAACACGAGATGACAAGCTGTTGGCATTGTCAAGATTTTGTTGAGATGCAGAGTTTTGGAAGGCAAGTCGTTTCTCAGTTCTTTTGGGCTGACAGTACTCACATGCACCTCTTCTTGACGGCGGTGATAAGATGCAGAATTTGTCAGCCTTGGGCATTTAGCCACCACAGTCGGATTGCCTGTCAGAGTAATCAACACATTCCCCCCTTATTTTTAGTGCCTAGAAAGATGTTAGCTCCTCCACGGGAAGGCTGTGCTTTCGCCAGTCCCAATTCCACAGCAATGGCCCGAGAGCAAATTTATACCAATTTATGTGACTGCTTAGGTGACCATTTGAGGTCTTGAGGGTCAGCGCTGGCCGTGAACAGTTTTCAGATGCTTAGGACATAAAACATCCAGGATCCAGCCTTGGCTGACTTGGGTTTTATCACAGGCTGACCTGAAGGGCACCCTGTTACTTAAGTGGACATGCTCACGTGGCCACGACGAGAGCGACAACTCTGTCCTCCTAATGGTCAAGGGAGAAAGACTGGATCTTATGAAGAGAAATTTTGTAAATGGTTTTGTAAATGAAGTCCCAAACTGGCAACGAGATCAGAAGAAGGAATGCAGACAGTACTTTAGTTGTGGGGAAAATTTAGAGCCCTAATAATAGAATGATAAGCCCCAAATCTCTTTGGTTGGGGTATCAGACAGTGGATTATTTATGTATATTGTATTGTTTTTCCATTTAATTTATAGAGACTTGAGGTCTGACATTTAGAAAATGGGAAAAAAATGGAATAGTATAATGAAAAGCTTCTCACACTAATCTTCCCTGTTGGTAAATTTTACCTCCTTGAAGGTCTTTACTATACATGCATATAAAGTACAGTGAAAGTGAGCACGCTGATACGTATATATATATACA